TTATCTGTGTTGCAGAGAAGGGTGTGCTGCTCACAAAGGGCATGCGAGGAAGCGGGACACGAGCCCTGCTCTGGGCCAGGCCCCCTGCACAACCCCGGCAGGCTCGGGGCAAGGGAAGCTCTTCAGCAAACCCCCACCGCCATTCCACAGAGCACTCAAGGGACAGACGCACTCTGAGAAGGGCGGTTGAGCCTCCCCACCGAGAGCCCAGGAACGCTTGGCTCACTCCCCGGGATGCTGTGCGCACCCTTTTGCTTCCCCCCGCCCTGCTGGGGCTCAGCCTGCAGCACAGCTCATCCCAGCCATGGCCCTCGCCTGATTTAACCATCCGTCGCTGGCAGGGAAGCGATGCGGAATGAGCCAGCTGTGCTTTGGATGAGCTCTAGGGCTGTTTACAACCACAGCGGAGCTTCACGTGTGGGTTAGCAGTGGAAGAGGAACAGAAGCTTTGGGGTAAAGCCTGCCCTGTCTTGTAGCCAGCGCCCCATGGAGGGGAATACCCAAGGACCAGCAGAGCATGCAAAAGGCTCCTCTGGCTCTCACAGCCCCACTCAGCTCAGGGATTCAAGCCCCGAGCTGCGGTTTCTAGCACAGAGCTCCAATCCCTTCCAGGGATGCTTCCTCTGCCTCCTCTGGAATGTCACGTGTGCCTGAAGTCCCTGCTCCAGAAAGGCCTTTCCTGTCTCAACCACCACCGGCTGTGACAGTGTGTTTCTCGTACTCCCCAACACCTAATCATCATTCCTCCCCACAGCCACCGCTGAACCATCTTTGATATATGACAGCTCTTCTCCACTGCCAATCTCTACTCCATCGCATCCCTCAGGTGGCTGGGCTGGAGCTGCAGGAGACCCGCAGGCATGGGCAGGCTCTGGCAAACCCCTGTGAGCTGCAGCAGCCCGTTTCTCTGGTAAGGGCTCCAGGTCTGTTAGACCCCTTGAATCCCTCAAGGGGACTCCACAGGGATCTCTGACTCCCCGTGGCCTCTCCGGACCCCGTAGCATTGCTCCTGGTGATGGAAACGGGCTGATGTCCCTTCCCATGGACGCTGTCACCACCGGAGACAGGTTCTCAGTCCCGTGGCCAGCTCCAGCCAAGCTGGCAGGTAGCTCAGCCCCCTTCCCGAGCATAGGCTCTGCTTTCAAAGCAGTGATGCTCCATACCTACAAAGAGCACGAGGCAGGGGCCCTCATTCAGCTGCACGGCGTTGGAGTCCGTCAGCTCCAACACGGGCTTGGGATGCCAGGGGAACTCGCGGCATTCAATGTCGTTCAGCACCTCCACCCGCCCTTGCCGCGTGATCACGTCTCCCTTGGAGTCCAGGACGATGAGAGTCGGGATGCCTGTGACGGAAGAAAAACAGGGGGGATCAGCCAAAGCGCGAACTGGCCAGCAACAGGGTGTGAGGAGAAAGGCCTTTTCCTATCGCCTCCGGCTCTGGCAGGAACCCAGCAAGCGTGCTGCCTCTCTGCAGCTCATGGATGGTGTGGGAATCGGGGTCCCTGGATCCTGTTTCCGTCCTCGCAGAGCGCTGTAATTCAGCAGCCAGAGCAGGAAGCTGGGAGACAGGCTCTGGCATTGCCTGCCTTTCCCTGCCCAAGGGCAGGCAGGGGTCACCGCTGTCTGATGGTGATGCTCCTGGATGCAAACCCCACCATACTGCGCAGACAACAGCGGCCAGGAAGCAGGGTGTGTTCCTTCCCAGAAGGAACAACATATATCGTGCAGCCATGAACTCCTCCATGAACCCCCACACCCCTCCTTGGCGCTAACCACCCAGCCATTTCCAGAGCACAGGGATGCACCTGACAAGTCATGAACATTACTACCTGGTTCGGATGCTGTTTCGCACCACCTGAGCCCGGCAAGGCAGGCACCTGACACTGCCGGTGGAGGAAAGGCCCCCGGACCAGCACTAACGACAGTCATTTAGTGCTCAGGGCCATGGATGCCCCCACGAATATCCAAAAGAGAGCGCAAACCTCTGCAAGTGGAGACGGAGCACGATCATACACACTAACACCAGCAGACTTTGTCACATGGCTAAACTGCATGCAACGCTTGCAAACGAACCTGGCATCCACCTTGCTTGGCCACTGCCCTTGCAAAAGGGAGGTGAACATGCTTGCAGCAAAGATTTAGCCCAAGTCGCCTATTCAAACCCGGGCGGGACGGCAGTGAGGCAGGGTGGACACCGGCCGGTGACCATCCCATCTGGTAAGGCACTGACGAGGCTTTCCGGCCACAAAACAGTCACAGGAGAGTCAACAGGAGCGGCTCATGTTGGTGACTTCATCTGGAAAGCACACCATTCCTCTCATCAAGGAGACAAAGAAACATCCCACGAGGAAGGAAGAGGGAAGAGTTTGGGATCAGGCCTCAAGAGATGGGTCAAGTGACTAGTGTTAGCTCCAGGTGCTGCTGTCTGCTTCTCACAACCCGGGCTTCAATCCGCTCGCTATCCAGTATCTCTTCCTTCACCCAGCAACATCCCCTGAATCACAACTGGCAAACCGAGGCAACTCAGATCCTCCTGCCCTCATCCAAAGGTTCATTTTAAAGCTCACTTGTTAGAAATACCCAGCAGAGCCATTCTCTGAGCAGAGGGCACCCAGCGTGCTTGCCCTTGCCGGACTGCTGGCACTGCGCTCTCACGTTTCTACAACAGTGGGTTACTCACAAGCTCTCTGAATTCTAGGCATTTCTCTAGGAAATACACGGCCTCTGTCTGTCCCACGCCTGCCTGCAGGTCTGGGCGAGCGGCTGCATTCCCCTCATTCCAGCCCGCCAGCACTGCTCACATTCCTGCCGGTGCGCTGGGGCTACATGCTCCTGGCTGGTGCAAGAGCAGCAGCGCAGGCAGGAACTAGCCTGATGGCTGGACTTGCAAATCCTAAAGGTATGCCAAGAAAACCATTTTGTATCACAAAAAGGCTTATTCATTACCTGCTGGTATTCAAAATAGCTCTAGGGCAGGGACGGGTTAAACAGACTGGAAGGAATTGGGAAATCTCACTCGGGCCCTACCCTGCAAGGCACAAACTACTACTGAAGCCAGGAGAAGCACACGGTGATCAGCATCCCACATGATTCGGCTCTATCCATTTACGATTCCCAACCCCGTCCCAAATGCCTGCCTTTCCATCCTCTCCAGACCTGCATTATACATGAGGGACAGACTAGAAACGTGGACTCAGCTCGGTACCCCTGTCGCCAGTTAGCCTGAACAACGCACCATACCAAGGCAGAGATTTCAAACGAGCTTTGCTGATCTGGGAAAATTAAGGGCCCAATTTAGACACAGATCGTTATGAGTGTGATCCCACAGCTATCAGGGACTTCATCCACTATTCAAAGCATTCGGACTTTACCTGATTTGCGTATGTGGACACACAGACCTCAAAGCACCCAGCCACTAAAACCTCCAACTGCAAATACAAAACTGACTCAGAAAACAGAGTCTTTAAGATAATTCATCCTGGGTTTAGCATGTTTGGGAAATATAAGTAACACATCAGAAAACTTGGGGCTGGGTTTTCAGTCTGTTAGCAGGTGCGTGACATACGCTGGGTCGGTCCCTGCACCTTTTACCCGGCATCAGAGGTTTCTCACCAGCCACGAAGCTCTGGTTTGCTTTCCGGACCTGCCTGGTGAAGGCTGAGACTGCCACGACCCATCTGCCCCCGCTCCCACGGCCACCCCCCCGGTCCCAAGCATCGCTGCCTTGTCTCCTCGGCTCCTTCCTGCGCGCCCCTGGCTGGGTCCCCAGGGTTAGGGCATGGCCTTACTGGGCTCACGGTGGCATCCCGTATGATCAGCCTTGTCTTCCCAGGCAAACCTTGTTACCGCTCCCCTGGCAAACACATCCTCTTTGCACGGGACACAGACGAGCAGGACCAGAGGAACTGTCCTTAACCTTATTCACACCCGCTAACCCCAGTACTTCCCCCCCAGTCCCCCCCTCCCTGCTCATCCCAGCCACTATTTGTTATTTTAGTGCCTTTTGGGGGCTTTGGTAATTGCCATGAGTCATAACAGCAGAATTTACTTATCAAGAAGAATCACAGATCAGACACTCTGCAATGAATATTGTATAAGCTTGGATAAGAATTAGCATAGACAGGCTCAGTTTGATTTTATGCATTAGAAAATGGATTCGGTTCCCACGGGGCTAGCATTTTATGAAAACACAGGGGCCAAATGATTTGTTACCGAACCCGGCAATACATTCACTTATTTATATATTAAAACCCATATCCGGCACGGAGATCTAATCTGCATAAAGTCTGTTGGGTAAGTAGTCAAAATTGACATGAAGCAAACACTCAGAATACATCAACCGCAGATGGGTGGTGGGTTTTATTGCTGTTTTTTCACCTTTTCAGAAGCAAGCTCCAGAAACCTGGTATGAGAAGCCTCCCGTAACAGTGAATTCCAGGCTGCTGCCACCAGCCAGGCTGTGAGAGTGACTTGCAGGTGTCTGGGCTAAAGCATGGGGCAGGGGGGAAACAACAGTTTTTGGAGGTTCCCCCAAGGGACTGCAAATCCCAAATTGCCACCACGGAGTCCACAGGGAATATTCAGGAACCCAAAAGCTCTCATAAGGTACGCATCCAGAAGGGGCAATTCCCACCCCAGCGTAACATTTATCTCTGCTCCCCATCCCATCGGAAGGAGAGCCAACGTCAGGGGATTTCACCTGAGGCGGGACCACGCAGACCGGGAGCAGCACGTACAACAGAGAATTATTTCTAAGCAACCACAACACAAGACATGACTCTCTCAATACAGTGTTGCACCCAGAAGCAATTTAATATAGGTGGGTACGGTACAGCCCACTGACTGCGCATGGGTTATGAATAGAGCCATTCAAGTAAACCCAAATAAAGGCCAATAACTCAACTTACATTTTACACTGAGTTTTTGAATGCTGTAGGGGCCAACACAGGACTAAAACAACAAGAGATCTGACTCTCTTGCTACTTCCCACCACTCAGGAACTTGAAGCAGTTGGGGAAGACAAGCTGTTTCTGTTGTTTCAGCTCCTGGCCTTACAAAAACCAGCGGAAAAACCACCCCACGTGCACGCTGTGCTCACAACCCAAGGCACCACCAGGATGGTAACCTGGACACTGAACGGGCTACATGCTCTCGCGGGTGCATAGGTGCAGCTCCAAAGGGGGCTTCGAAGATGCTGGGCAGCATCAGAGCCATGCATCTGGGAAAGGCAGATGAGATTACATGGATCTGATTTTTCATTTAGGTGGAATAATCACCAGTGGCGATGAGCTGAGCCCACGACATCTAGCTCTGTTTACAGAAAGCTTTCGTTACAGCTGGTGTGGCAGCCTGCTGCGAAAGCCTGACTGCAAACAGGCGGGCAACCCCAAAGTCAGCACAGAGGATCCCGAGCTGCTTCCTGCGCAGGGGTCAATGACAACCTGGAGACCCTGGGAGCAGCGCAAGGGTTCGCCTCCAGCCCTCTCCCTCGTCTACTGGTGCCCTGGCACCCTCCCCGCAGCACCCTCGCTCCACCCTGGACTGCAGTGGGGAAACAGAGCCCAGCCCAGCCTTGCAAAGCCTGTGTGGCGCCCGGGTGGGAAGGGAGGTGGGACGGCGATGCCTCCTGCGCAGGGTGCAAATTAGCCTGCCTCCACATTTCAACGTGACTTTGTGGGATCGCAGTTCAGATCGTTAGAATCATAGAATCATAGGATAGTTTGGGTTGGAAGGGACCTCTAAAGGTCATCTGGTCCAACCCCCCCCCTGCCCTGGGCAGGGACATCTTCAACTAGATCAGGTTGCTCAGAGCCCCGTCCAACCTGACCTGGAATGTTTCCAGGGATGGGGCATCCACCACCTCTCTGGGCAACCTGTGCCAGGGTTTCACCACCCTCAGCGTAAAAAATGTCTTCCTTATATCTAGTCTAAATCTCCCCCCCTTTAGTTTAAAGCCATTCCCCCTTGTCCTGTCGCAACAGGCCCTGCTAAAAAGTTTGCTGCCATCTTTTTTATAAGCCCCCTTGAAGTACTGACAGGCTGCAATAAGGTCTCCCCGAAGCCTTCTCTTCTCCAGGCTGAACAACCCCAACTCTCTCAGCCTTTCTTCATAGCAGAGATGCTCCATCCCCCTGATCATTTTCATGGCCCTCCTCTGGACCCGCTCTGACAGGTCTGTGTCTTTCTTATGCTGAGGGCTCCAGAGCTGGACGCAGTGCTCCAGGGGGGGTCTCACCAGAGCAGAGTAGAGGGGCAGAATCCCCTCCCTCGCCCTGCTGGCCACGCTGCTTTGGATGCAGCCCAGGATACGGTTGGCTTTCTGGGCTGCGAGCGCACATTGCTGGGTCATGTCCAGCTTTTCACCCACCAGTACCCCCAAGTCCTTCTCGGCAGGGCTGCTCTCCATCCCTTCATCCCCCAGCCCGTATTGATACCGGGGGTTGCCCCCACCCAGGTGCAGGACCTTGCACTTGGCCTTGTTCAACCTCATGAGGTTCACACAGGCCCACCTCTCGAGCTTGTCCAGGTCCCTCTGGATGGCATCCCCTCCCTCTGGCGTGTCGACCGCACCACGCAGCTTGGTGTCATCTGCAAACCTGCTGAGGGTGTACTCGATCCCACTGTCTATGGCATTGATGAAGATATTAAACAGTACCAGTCCCAATACGGACCCCTGCGGGACGTCACTCATCACCAATCTCCATGTGGACATTGAGCTGTTGACCACTACCTCTGGATGCGACCATCTAACCAATTCCTCACCCACTGGACAGTCCACCCATCAAATCCATACCTCTCCAGTTTAGAGAGAAGGATGTTGTGGGGAACCGTGTCAAAGGCCTTACAGAGGTCCAGACAGACGACATCTGTAGCCCTTCCCGTGTCCCCTGATGTAGTCACTCCATCATAGAAGGCCCCTAGGTTGGTCAGGCAGAACTTGCCCTTGGTGAAGCCATGCTGGCTGTCTCGAATCACCTCCCTGTCCTCCATGTGCCTCAGCATAGCTTCCAGGAGGATCTGTTCCATGATCTTCCCAGGCACAGAGGTGAGACTGACTGGCCTGCAGTTCTCCGGGTCTCCCTTTTTTCCCTTTTTAAAAATGGGGATTATGTTTCCCCTTTTCCAGTCAGTGGGAACTTCACCAGACTGCCACGACTTCTCAGATACAATGGATAGTGACTTAGCATATACAATGGATAGTGGCTTACCTTGTGGAGAGGTTCCCATTTTACAGGAAAACCATGACAGATAAGCAGAAGGGTTTGCGCTCAAATGTGCCTAAATCCCAGGGTCAGCGTCCCTGGGAGAGCAACTGAAATGCAGGGGTAATATGGGAGCTTCCCTGGCAGAGGAAGGGGGTCAGGGCACAGGGGAACAGCAAATATTTACATTTTCAGGTCAGCACACAATGAAGAGAGACATTTAAGGAGCCAGTGGCTGGAGTTAGAGCGAAAGCTGTTGTCACTGTTTCCCTGGCTACAGCATGCCTGGTGCTCAAGTATCCACGTCTGGACACCTTATTTACAGAAAGTCCCAGTCAAACTGGCAGCAGTCCTGCAGCGCTCAGCCGAAATCAGCACTGGAGAGGTTTGTGAGCGGGTCGGGGAAAAGGCGGATGAATTGGGAAAGGTCTTGCCTCCTGGGAAGGTAATTAAGCAGCAAACTGATGGCTATTTAAAGCAGGCGAATGGTTATTCTTGGTTTAAGGTCAGGGAACAGAGCTGAGCGACAGCACCTGAGCTCACACCAGAAGGGGTGTTCGGAGAGGACCCCAAGGAACGATTATTTCTCCTGCCACTCTCCCGAGGCCCTGGGCCACCTTTGGCAACACTCCTCCTCCCCTGGAGATTGCATTAAACCTCTGCCAGCCTATGCCCACCTCATCGATACCGCATGGAAATGGATAAGAAACAGGCACATTGCAGCAAGACCCTTTAACCACAGCAGAGATAAACTGTATGTACGTACAGAAGACCTCCTTGCGAGCTTGTCACCTTGCAAGTCTCTATGCTGCAGTTTGTCCCCTGCAGGAACAAGGTGCCAGTCCTCAGGGGGGCTGCTGTGAGCTTTAATTCTCTTCGTGACTCTTTGAAGCCACCCAGCAGACAGAGCCTCTCCCCTGCCCATCCGAGCAGCCGGGGCTGCTGGAATTCTGGCACTGGCACATACAGTAAAAGCAAAGCCATGGTTTACATCAAACACGCACTCTTCTGTAATTCATGTCACTAACATAAACCAGATGCCATCTTCCTCAGCCTCTGCAGAGAACGATGGCCTGCCTTTGCGTTACATAAAACAGCAAGAAAATGAAATTTAAACCTTTAAGAAAAAGCAAAATAAATAAATCAGTAATTAGGCAAAAAACATCCAAGCCAAAAACAGCTTCCAAGTTTCCAGGAAGAATTAGGTTGTTTATGGAAGTCCTGTTTCAACTAACAGCCTGCCTGGCAGGTGGTAGGAATGTGAGTTTGTGGAGAGCAGAAACATGAGGCAGCTCTGCCTGGGGCACCGTGCTTTGCTTTGCTGTTTTCTTGTTTTAGTTAAACAAGAGGTGACATTACAAATATTCAACAAAAGGAGCAGAAAGGAGAGCTGTGCATCAGTGCGGCCTTTCCTACCTTGTATGCCATAGAGTCGATTCAGGCGCGACCGTCTGGCCTCGTCGGCATATGGCACAGCTACCCAGGGCATCTCGCTGAAATACTGCTTGAAGGAGTCCTCTGACCTGTGCAAGGGGAACAGGGCATGGGATCCAGAGTACAGGCTCTTTCCTCTTCTCATTAAAAACCTGGCCTGCAAATCCCTTTATCCCTTCCACCGAAGCCCACCGGTAAGGGCTGCTGGCAGACACAACCAAGGGAGAGCTAGGCCAAATGTAAAGCCCCCAGTCCCTCAAGAAGGGGTCCGCAGTGCAGTTTTCCCCAATAAAGTATTTCAAACCCTCCGGGGCATCCAAATGTCAACCCATGGTGACAGCAGCAGCTCGAGCATCCTTCAGACCACAGACCCACGAGCCACAAAGCGAAATACAGAGCTGCTCCATGGACGGAGCCTGCTCTCAGCCCACCGGTGCCCCTGCCAACTCCCCTTTGCACTTAGCCACTGGGCAGAGGGCAAAGGACTCGGGCAGCCTTTCCGATACCATAGCCAACCTGCTGTACCCCAGATCCAATTTCCTCCTCAAATCAAACCAGAAATGCTCACAGCTTCCCAGCTTGGGGGCAGGCAGCTCTGCCGGCACAGGGTGTTAGCGCTTCCTTACCTGTCTGCACTAACAAAGAGTATCTCAAATTTCTGGCCCGCCTCCTTGATTTTCCGATAGGACTCCACCAGGACCCTTGTGAGGCTTCGGCACGGGGGGCACTGCAAAACACAACACATGCATAAGGACATCGTCTCCTCCACAGGGCCAGACCCACACCCAGCAGGTCCAGATGACCTAGTGACCATGAAAAGACAGATGTGACCTCATCTTTGCTGGAGTGCTGGGCAGCAGCTCTGAACATGGCTGGGGCTTATGGCCCGTAAGTTGCCAACAAAACCTCTTCCATTTTTAAAATCTGACCACTCTTCCCCTTCTGAAGGGCCAGCTGAGGATGACAGGCCACTACAATGCTGCGGCTTCTTCCAGAATGACTGGAGCATCTTAACTGCTTCAACACCAACCAGCCAGAGGTCTTCACCCTCCCACAGAACTCTGCAGCATGAGCTGCAGGGGGATACCCAGAGCACTCCCCGAGCTTGCTCTAATTGCTCTGCAAAGCGCCTGCTACTCACCCAGTGCGCAGAGAAATAGACCCCAACGTGTGAGCCCTCCAGGGCATTGCTGTCTAGTGTCTGGCCATTGTTCCTTAGCAGAGGCCCAGCAACAACTTCACTGAAGGGTTTTGGCCCCCAGGGGAACTCCAGACCTGGAGAGGGGTCAGGATGAGGGTGGAAAGAAGACACAAAACAGCAAGATGCACGTGCAGCATTTACAGTTTCAAAAAGTTCCACCAAAAAAACCGTCCCACCTTCTGCAAAGATATGGAGGAGCCAGGGAAGCCAAGCTCTGCACCAGAGCCAAGGCCACCTCCTTCTCACAGGTAGGCTGCACCCTTGCTTGAGTCGCAGCACCTTTGGCTTGACAAAGCCTGCTTGGGTTTTGTGCCTGATGAGGCATCTTTTCCTTATCAACAGCATTTGTTTTAACAACAGAGGGCGAGGTGCTTAGGAACGCAGTCAGACTATTTGCCTTATACTGATACTAACCATAAATTTTTTTATATATACACAAATTTATTTATAAAATCTTTTTTTATATATATATAAAAAACCCTATACATAAACTGAACTTAGACTAACCCTCTACACCCCAAAGCAAGCATGTGTGCATACACACAAACACATGCTCCAAATCATCTGCTGCCAGCTCCCAGAGCAATCAATCTATGTATTCAGCCAGAGAGGAGGGAACATCACAGATGGCTCAGGCCACAATGTGTACTTGCTGTACAGTTCCTGCCACCTGAACGAAAGACTCTTATCACCACGCTCAGTATCTACTGCAGGAAGAAATGATGGGTCGGTAATATGTGTGCATGGACAGCCTAGCAGTTGAATGATGGGTCTGCAGGGTCTATGAGTAAGGGCACACATTTTGCTCATTTTGGTTCTTGCAAATTGCAAGAAGACGGATTTAACATCAACCCCCAGCACAGTAAACCTCAGAAACAGAGAACGGTAGCATTTTTCTGTTGCATTTGTAAATAATGGGGAATTCGTTATCCTAACAGAGTGTGGTGTCAGTGATATCAGTATTTTGGAAGGATTCTGCTCCCAAGGCATGGCAAGTCTGGGCCCTCGGTCGGTCTGTCCATGTGCCTCCATCAGGGAAAAATCCAAACTTAACGTTTCAGTTAGTCTAACTTTTTCCTCATTAACACTTCAGACAAAAATCCTGGAGGGGAAATCTTTGTTCTTGTCAACAAGCAAAACCAAAACACAAGATCTGGCAGGAATGATGCAGAAAATTTTATGCTGAAAATAATACAGCACCTTGATTAGTTAAGTATGACAACAGTTGTTTATTTCCTTCCCCCCCACCCCAAGGCAATTAAAAATGAACTGAAATGAAAAGGCAGCCGTGTGCCCATGTTTCTACGGCACAGGGGACTCCAGGTCTTACCTTCTGGGTCATCTCGGATTACCAGGAGGCCATTCCTGCAAACCACCTTCCCGGTGGAGGCATCGATAAATATCAGGGAAGGAATGTTGGAGACTCTGTACTTGTTCCACAGCTTCAGCTGTAAAAGAGATCAGTAGGGGAGAGAAGAAAGGTCAACTTGGCAGTGTGAAGAAGATGATTTTGGGGTGTTAGCATCTTTCAGACCAGAGGTCAGAGCTAAGGAAAGAAACAGAGTTGGCGCTTCAGCAATGCATATGAAGGCATGTGAGGACATCTCTCTAGAGCTGCTGGGCCAGGCTGGACCTCCAGCACCTGCAGAGACACGATCTGTCAACACCATCCCCTCGGTACCGCGGGTGAGACCAGCATTTGTCTCATGCCTGTTGCGCGCTTGCCTGTGAGCACAGGTAAAGCTTCTCCTCCTGCTGCATTTGCCTCTTTGCAAGTAAAATGGGGATAATATTTACCATACTTTGAGGTCTTTGTTTACACGACATGGTAAGGACAAATACTTTTAATGCCACTGCTCTGAAGCAATTTGTAATACTTCCCTGGCTGCTTCCTCCCCTCCCATTTCAATGTTCATTAAACAAACCAGCAACCCCTGCCAAGACATGCTGAAAACAAAGCCAACATACATAAACACGATTCTCCTGAGACTGGGGCTTCCCGGGTTTGTTCCCGGGAGCTGGTTAACGGGTTTGACATCAGCCTGGGGGCTGCGTAGCCCAGCTCATCTATCCTGCACTGCCAGCCCTGCAGCAGTCCCCACCAGCTACGGACAGAAGCCATGCAGGCTGCAACAGCCACATTTTGGACGTCTTGGTCTAGATGTTGCTGTCTGCTGGTTGTTACGTTTTGCAGCGAGCTTGGCTCCGCACAATGACCGTGACTGAATGCTCTGGGTGTCACACAGTCCTGGGTTAACATTTCTCAGCATACGCTTCTGGCACAGGATAATTTGGAACTTAACCCACGTACAGAAGCTCACAGGGATGGGGAGGAACAAGACGACGACAGCTGCTGGCACAGCCCAGCCTGCAGGTGTAGGCTGGCTGCGGCCAGAGGAGCCGGTCTCCCCGCCACGCACTGAGGAGCTGCTGCGATCGCTGCATTTACTTACATTTCTCCAAGCATTTCAACCTAAACAGCCCAGCGGTGAATTATCAAACTCTTAAACAAAAGCCAAACTATAGCCGAGAGCCAGAGGGGAAGGAAATGAATCACCACCTTTCCCCTAACATCAAGCGCTGCTCTGCAAAGCTCCTGGGGCTCCGGGTGTTTACAACTCGCTTGGGTTTGGAGAATAAAACCCAGCCACGGGAGAAGGGCAGGAGGAGACCGAGAATCCCACCCAGCGCCAGCGTGAGGGTTCGAGCACAAGACCCAGAGAAACCCTCAAGCGACGTGCTGCTGCTTCCATCAGTACCTCACACGGAAACTGGACCCATGTGCTTTCCCAGAAAAAGAGGCCACGGCTCTGTGGATCACCATCCCCGATTTCCGAATAGAGGCAATCCCATTTCCCAAGATGGAAATGATCTGGGGAACCAGACAAACGAGGGCAGGAATGGGATGCAATGTTCAGGCAGAGCAAAATGAATCCCTCGGTTTGCTCACCAGAGATCTAGCCGAGGGGAAAGTCACATCCACATTCAGGTTTTAATGGGGCACTGTATTAAATATTTCTTCCAATACCTTTTAATCAAAGATACACCTGAATGAGCGACACAAGCCAGCCTGCTTGCAAAGGGGTGTTAGCAAAACCCTCTCAGGTCTGAAGGAAAGCGTTACCACTGATCTAGGAAGACTTTATTAACCTCCATCTACTAGGACCCATAGAAAGGCAACGCTTTGTGTCCTGCCCACCAGCCTTGGATTTCCAATAGACATATTTCTTGGGACAAGCAGACTCATTCACAATGCCGATTCACAAACCAAATGGCCTTGGGCATGAAAAAAAGAAGAAATCATACTAAATGCAAACCAGCCCCCTCACAATGAGTGCATTCAAACCACAGAAGGTAAAATCCACTTCTGTGAAGTTTAAAGGGTGGGGAAAAGCTCTTTATAAGGATCACAGGCATTTAAGAGGGTGTTGCAAACAATGAGGAAATTACAGCTAGCAATTGGATTGTTCTCTTTAAATAGTTGCTTAGGTTTCACTTCATTTTGCCAAGCCCTTTGTATATGGGCAGCACTCCCCTTGGGGCACTACGTCGGTCGTGGCAGTTTTGCTTGGCTGGGGAAGCGGCAGGGTCTGCACTTCAGAGCCAAGAGGCTGCATCGACTCGCTGTGCTCAGAGGGACGGGGCTGGCACACCCCAGATAAGAGGGTAAGACCAAACCAAACCCGCTCTCGCTGGAAGCATTGGAGCAAGCGGTACACAGCTGGCTCCAGGCAGTCTATGGGGTCCAGCAGACCTGGCAGCTCTTGCCAACAACTGGCCCTGCGTCTTCTCAGGACATGTATGCCATCAGGCCCCACTGGGCCCAAACTCCCTTGGCAGAGACTAGTCTTGGCTGCCCAGACATCTGTGGTATGGGTAATCTGCAATCCAGATACTCTGTCCCCATGAAATGGAGGGTTGCCACTTCTAACTCATCATTGAGGGTCCACAGGAGAATGCCTCAAGGAAGCTTGAAGCTAGGTGTGTGTCGAAAGGGTCAAAAAGCATCAAAAAAGGTCAACGTGACATCTGCTTGCTGGGGGAGCATGTCCATCACTGGGCTCTGAGACTTGAACCCAGTGAACGCCATGTCACACTCAGTCACACCTCGGGCAAATGAGAAAAAGCAGCCAAAACTGCCAGGTTTTACCTTGCATCTTTGCAAAAGCTGCAAGCATCATGCAGCTCCCAGACACCACCACCCAGCCATCCCAGGTCACACCAAACGTTCAGAGCTTCATACACGCTGAGCAGCGCTTACTATGTGCAACATTGTCGTGGTTTAAACCCAGCCGGCAACCAAGCCCCACCCAGCCGCTCACTCACTACCCCCCAGTGGGATGGGGGAGAGAATCGGAAGGGTAAAAGTGAGAAAACTGATGGGTTGAGATAAAGACAGTTTAACAGGTAAAGCAAAAGCTGCGCACACAAGCAAAGCAAAACAAGGAATCCGTTCACTGCTTCCCATGGGCAGGCAGGTGTTCAGCCATCTCCAGGAAAGCAGGGCTCCGTCACGCGTAACGGTGACTTGGGAAGACAAACGCCATCACTCCAAATGTCCCCCCCTTCCTTCTCCTTCCCCCAGCTTTACATGCTGAGCATGACGCCATACGGTGTGGGATATCCCTTGGGTCAGTTGGGGTCAGCTGTCCCGGCTGTGTCCCCTCCCAACTTCTTGTGCCCCCCCAGCCTACTGGGGGTGGGGTGGGGTGAGGAGCAGAAAAGGCCTTGACTCTGTGTCAGCACTGCTCAGCAGTAACTAAAACATCCCTGTGTTATCAACACTGTTTCCAGTACAAATCCCAAACACAGCCCCATACCAGCTACTGTGAAGAGAATTAACTCTGCCCCAGTGAAAACCAGCACAAACATATTTGCTACCCGGGTCATCACTGAAACCCATCATACGACACGGATGAACAAACACGACAATTGCACGTTAAGAAGACTGGAACTGCATTGCCATTTTACGCCCGGTTATAAAAGGCTTGAATTGCAAATTAGTGGTCTTGATGCACTAACCATACTGATTTCACTGTCTGTACTGGAAAGTACACGAATGTGCTCTTTTAAGTGGGAGCAGTTTGGTTTGATGATTCTCCTGTGCGCTAGGAAAGCTGATGGGGAATGAGAAACACATGCACTGCAGGATGAGCGCCAGGGTCTACCACCATTCCCACCGCCCTGGCCCCCTTCAGCCAGGCTCAGCTTTCCAAAGCCTGTCAGACACTTCTGAAGGAAGCCTGATGGCTCCTTTTACTGCAGGTTTGACCTGAAAGAGCAGAACCTTGATAGGAAATAGGCCTGGCTCATTTTAGCTGGGCTTTTTGGATAAGATAGCTCACTATAGGATTCCCACACCACTATTTCGCAGCTGCAGCTTCCAGCAAAGACATCCGATCTCCAGCTAAAGCCTCTGAACACCAGGATGACCTAACCCGTCTTGTGGCAAACTATTGCACTGTATAGTTTTTCTCAGGGTAAAATGCCAAGAGTTTGCACATGCGCAGGGGCTGGAAAGGAGACGAGCTCCTCCTCGGTCCCGCTTGGCATATGCCCGCTGGTTGTGGTCCAGGCAGGAAGGGGAGCTCAGAAGATAAAAGGCATCCCTTCTACCAGTACCTGCCCAACCGCGCACCTCGCAAAGGGTCCTGTGTCGGGCTGGGTGTGGGATGCGGAAAGCAAATTATAACTTGCTCTGAAACCGCAGGATGATGGGATGATAGCTCAAGCAGCAGGGCAGAGTGCTGCCTCAGCAACTTTTAAAAGCTGTTTTTCCTGCCGTGAAGAGGATGACATAGAAATAACATACTCCACACTCTGAGGATTTGATCATCCATTTAAAGAGGGGATCTCTGCTCCGCTTCCCAACAGCTGTTGCAAATCTGTGGGATCAAGCCAAAGCTAACACAGATGTGGAAATAATCTACAGACTATTCAGCCTGAAAGCAGCTGATCCTCACAGAGCGCCCTTCGCTCCTGGTTCAGGCTGCACACCCGCTAAACTCAATACTCACCCCAGGATGGCCGCTGGAGAAGAAGCGAGAAAATACACCCCCTCGCAAGATGCCGTACAGGCTGATCAGCTTCACAGAAACCTCGCTAACTCCTGTGCAGGTGGTTAAGTACAGCAGTCCAGTGGAAAAAACAGTCTCACCAGATTCTTCCGGTAACCTTATCCCTGCGCAAAGCATCACCATGCTGTCCTGGAGGACCAGGAAACCACCGCCCTGGGCTCCCTCTGTGACTCCATCCATGACTGGCCATGAAAGGCTTATTACTTGAGGTCTGAGGCGATCCCAAGACGTCAGGCGATGCAGCAGCATGCAGCATCGGTCACAAAGCCGCTCTCCGCACCGGCGGCTGGCTCGGTTATTTCCCCCACCCTAGTGACTGGGAAATGCCTGGCCGAGAGGCATGTTGGAGAGAAGTTTGCAGGCAGCCGCAGTAATTTTTCCAGATAAAGGTGTCAGACGAGAGGTCTCCCCAGCAGCCCACGGCTGTTTCTGCGCAGGGCTCGCACCCAGCCGGGGTAGATTAAATCCTCTCCTGCTCTGTGGGTACTGGTGGGGAAGGGATCCCCTACTTCCAACAGCTGCTGGGCGCTATTTTTGGTTGTGCTGATTGATTTATCAGCCCTTGGTCACATTCACTTACTAACATAAATCCTGAGCTGCAGCGGTTAATGCTGGCAAAGATAAAGCACAACTGCTTGTAGTGAAATGAGCCCTGGCTGGTGAGAAAGTGGTCCTCCCGCCCTCGTTGGGGACTGCGTTTCTCCGCTCTTGTGTGAACCTGGTCCGTAAAAGCTCTCACGCTTCCATCCTCCATAGGATACAGAGCTGTCTCCACCCGGGAGATATGAAGGTTTCAGAGGCACCTGCCCATGCCAGCAGCAGGGCAGACACCGCCTCTGCTTATCTTGCAACCCACGCTTCCACCCTGACCAGCGACAGCCAGACACAGCTGGTTTAAAAACTCAAAAGCAGATCCCTCAGTAATAACGAACATGTTCCCAATGTGGACGGCTGCCGCTTTCTGCTAAATGAAATGCAAAGCCACTTTTCTTCTAAAAATCCACCCTTGGCAACACCCCCAGGGTCTGGGCAATTCCTCTGGTGAGGTGTTGGAAAGACCCCGCTTTCCAGCAGCGCCATGAGTGCCCATGCGAGAGCACAGCACGGTTTCCATTACAGACACGAGCTTGGCTCTTGCCAGCCTCTTGTTCCAGAGCCATAGGCTGAAACATGAAGTCTGTCTGAGGAACTCACAAGCAGCACTCAGGTGGAAAAGCGCCTTGGTCCAGGGCCATGGGGACCGGCAGAGCCCATTTCCCAGCTCTGCTGCACAGACCGGCTCCGGGCTGGCGAGACAGCCACAGCCATCCCCACCGCTCTGCTCCCACAGTCTGGCGCTGCGTGGGACCTCTCTGTCCTCACTCGCTCTGTTAAATTGCAGCTTTTACATCGTGCCTTAAAGGGTTTACAAGCACCAGGGGCCACCCAGGCTCTGCAGACAGCAGGCATGGGGCTGCAGAACAGGCTGCTCCCTCACCCTGTCGATTTAAATCCAGGTCACGCCTGTCCCTGTGACTCAAGCTCAGCTTGAGCGAAGGCTCCTCTTCCAGCCCTCCCTCGCCGCTCCCTTCCCTTCGTGCATAAGGGAACCCCCTTAAATGAAAGGGGATGCAGTGCGGGAACGACACACAGCCGAATAGTGGGGGAGGCATCGAGGGCAGATGGTGCACGCCAAGGTCTGACCTTGCGTCACAGAGGAAGACTGAGCGAGGCTTGGGGTAAATTAATGTCTATTGTGCTGCTGTTTCTCTCTGAAAGCAAATCAAAATCTAATTACAAAATACAATATTGAGAGAGACGTCTGCTCCAAGAACATTAATGAGCTGAGAAGGGAGGATTTGGAATTGCAATAAACAAGATTGATGTGAATGGCTGAGACTGACAGCACAGGGCACCAGGGCTGCTGGCACACACGGACCGGTGGGCAGCCAGACCACTGTGTTATTGTTCCCCTCTGCCCCCACGCTGCTACGGTGGGAGAAAGCCCAGTTAAAACCAACCTTAGGACCAGTTTCTGCCAGCACTTGGCCCGGCAGCGCCTGCTGCGGATGCTCCCCCTGCCAGTCACGTTCCAGCAATATGACTCGGTGTGAGCAAAAAATAAGTCAAATCAAAAGTCCTGCTTGTCACTTCCATCCTCTCCTTGCTGTGGCTCCATGGTGGGAGACCAGCACAGCACGGTCTGGCTTGAGGCCGCCTGCATCTCCCCGAAGCCAGCGGGGGGGAGCAGGGGAGACCCTGGCAGGAGCCAGCTTGCAGCCCCGGGCTTTTGTTCTTCCCAGCCATGAAACACAACGGTGAAAGCTTTGGAGCCGAAGTAGAAGGAAATCCTCTCCGTGGGGTTTTCTGGCAAGGCGGCCACCAGCGGAGGGGCTGCTCTTTGTTTCCCCAAGGAGCTCCGCAGCCAAAGCCCTGGCATGAGGGACCCGGGCCAGCCCAACGTCACGTCCCGGCCCCCTCACCTCCTCCCGTTTTCTCCTTCTTATCGCCCTGGTCGCCCAGCACCAGCACCGTTGCTCTGCAATTTCCCAGGCTAAGCCGCCCAACCGGCTGCGAGCTGAGCATTTTGTTTGAGGGCAAAGCAGCATATGGCTGGCGCATGTGCCCGGCTCAAAGCACAAGCTGCCTCCTCTCCTCCTGACGCACATGCAGGCTGACAGGCTGGATCCTCCGCAGCCCACATCTGATAGGAAAACATTTAATTTGAGCGGAACTGAAGAGTGGTTAACATGATCTATGGAGAGCAAAGCCCCAGGGCCCAGAGCCGACACACGAGGTGGCCTGGTTGTTTTATATGTGCAAGGTTCAAAGCAGTGCTGGGCTGGAAGCTTGATTTGATCCCAGGATCAGGGCGAAGTAGCATTTGTCTAAACATACAGATAACAACGCAGACAGCAAATCATGCAGGGAAGATGCTACAGACAGGCTGGTCTATCAACACTACGAGGATGCCTTTTATAAACCTCTTTTTTTCCAGGTGTTCCTTGAATTATTGAACAGCCCAAAGATGATGCAGAATTTAAGGATGCAGCATCATACCCAGGACTAGAAAATACACCTCCGTGCATTTCCAATAAATGTTTTTTTTTCCTCCATGTGCATGCCTTGCTTTACCTCCTAAAAGGAGGCTTGCATGTGAGCATCTCAAGATATTTCATAAACAATTTTTATCCCTGCAGTTCTGCTTTGGGCCAAGCACTCTCCCTTTACCCCCAGGAGAACGGGGGCACAGGGCTTGCACAAAGATGGGCGCAGAACCCAGGGGGTCTGCCAGCACCTTGGAACCCACATTCTGTTACCTGTTTTCACTGGCATTTTTTCACACTTTCCTGGTAGGTAACAAACACATAAAAAGCAGTGAGGACAGAGGGAGTTAAAGTGTTTGTGGGAAAAATTTAAGACACATGTAGAAGTGTATCATACATGGCCCCTATAAATTACACCCCCAAATGACTAGCACTGAGTAAGAAACAGCTATGTAAACACAAAGGTAATAAGAAAAAATAATAATTTTTCTCTCTCTATGGGGAAGGGATATTTTTCCATCTGTTTATAGGAAAGGCGAGGGGTGGGGTGGCAGTCTGGGATGTTGAATCGAAGTTCAGGGTCTCTCTTGGTCCCCAGTCTCATCTGTCACTGGAAGCAGGACGGCTGCCAGAACCGCCGCACATTACAGCCTTGGTTTCCTACCCACCGCCTTTGCTTTTGCTGCTACCGTTCGCTCGAAGGCAGCCGCCATCAAGCGCTGGTGGTAATCTCGAGGTCAAATGCCTTGCAATCCCGGATCATTAAGAAGCAAACATTTCTAAAAAGCCCCGAGTTTAGACAGAGTTCCCACCAAACACAAAAGCCTTTTAAATCTGCAGGGAAATTGGGAATTTTTTTATTTTTTTGTTTAAGGCACACAATGAGGTATTGGTGTGGTTTCTGTTTTGTTTTCAGCAGTTAATCCGAAAGGGAACCTTACACAATCAGACCAACAAAGTGCTGGAAAACAATAGAGTATTTGTTAACACCCAGGGGAGTGAGGGCTTCAGGACCCCGCAGCGCCGGGAGCCTCGCCAGCACTGACTTCCCCAGGACACGCCAGCACCAGGACATCCCCCAGACCAGCAACATGGGAGACCCTTGTAAAACTACCAAGACATCTGCAAATACCCTCTTGTGCCCACTGCTGCTGATGCACCCACTGAATGGGAAATCTGCTCATTACACAGCATCTTTTGAAATGCAATAGCTCATCCATAGCATCACTGCTGACACTTCATTACAAAAACCTCCACTCAGCACAGCACTTGCATCACTGCAAACACTCGGACTATTTAAAAGCAACTACTTTCCTCCAGTTGATCTCAGGAGAGGGTGCACTGGTTGGTCTGGCCCTCCCTACAGCCGCATCCATCTCAGCGTCTCAAAGCCGACGGCGTTGAATCTCAGTCTGGCAGCACTCCTGGTTTGCAACCCAAGGAGGATTTTCATGCAAAGGTTACACAGCTGCAGAGCTAAAAAGGCCATAACCACAGCCCCCGGCGCCTGCTCGCAGCCCACGCTGTCGGGGCAGCTCTGGGCTTTGCATGCAAGACAGGCAATGGGCTCTGCTTGCAGCTCGGAAGGGCGGCACAGCTCGAGGGATTCACTCCGTAACTCCACTCAGGTCAAAATAGGCCAGGAGCTAACCAGACCCAGGTGCTCTCAAGCTCCAGCTAGAAAGAGCAATCCCTGCCAGAGACAGCTTGGAGTTATCCCACTCCTGCTTGGCTCTTGGGGTGGAAGGGGGTCCCACAGCCCACGCCAATCCAGCACAGCCACGGCGCTCGCAGGAGACTTCTCCTCTGGAGCCATTAAAGTCCATCCTGCACAAACATCCCACTGCCAAAACTGCTCTGGGCTAAACCACTGATGATGACGCGCTCTCAGGGCCTCTGTGTCCTCTTAACACACGTCACAAGCACGACTGAGCCCCAGAGTCACGGTGGCCTGAGCTGGCACTGGGTGCCCTGCAGGGAACACCATCACACTGACTCGTGACACAGGCAGGACGGATGTAACGGGTCAGGCTGCCTGGAAAACACTCTCCTGCCGAGCACTTCTTCTCTTGCTCCTGCTCCCCGGACCGTCACTCACCCCCTCTGCAGAAAGGCTGCAGGCTGGGAGCATAAACCTGCCCAACACCGAGCTACTGACGTCTACACAGGAGAAGGCCACTGCGAGTCCCACATCTGCAATAATCACCTGCACACATTAAAAACCAGACCAGAACAATGCTGACGGCAGCTCAGAGGCACTAACATCTCAACGGCAGCACAAGCCAGCAGGCGGGAGGCTGGAGAACCCGCTTCCCCACCCAACTGCTCTTTTGCAGAGGGGCTTTCCCATCCCTTCCCTCCAGCAGAGCTGGTGGCATTAGCTGTGAGGAGAAGGGACAGGGAAATGGGGAGGGCCGGGGGAAGGAGCAGAGACGTGGTTTGAGCCGGGCATGGACGCAGAGCAGGGAGGCGCTTGCAAAAGCCATTTCCAGCTGCTTGGATGGGGAAGGATAACCAGTGCCGGGCAAGCCCGGAGGGGGCCAGGCAGACAGGGCCGAGGGGGTGTGGGGTTTGTGACACACACACATGGTGGGCCAGGTGCAGGGCAAGCAAGGGAACCCGACCCATCCTGTGAAACCCAGCACCGAGACGCAAGAGGCCCCTGGCTCCAGAGCCATCGACCGGGGAGGAATGAGACAGCAGGCTGGGGCTCCCTCTATTTTAAGGCTTGATCGGCATGTCTTGCAATTGCCAAGCCAATTAAAAAGATGAACAGGGATGGTGATAAATCAGTAGCAAGGTCAAAAGCTCCAGCTACATCCTGACTTGACTGACAGAAGTCACAAAATAAATAGTTTCTCAAAGGGGAGAGAGCCCATGAGTCAGCACATGGATGAAATACGGCACCGGGAAGGCAGGACTGACCCCTGGTGCGAGCGAGCCTCAGGCACAGTGTCCCTCCCACCACCCCGAGCACGGCACGAAGGCAGCCACGGCAAAACGAGAGGCTGCTGCCAGGAACCGATGACAACGCGAATCCCACCGGGGCATCCAAAATGTCAGATAAGACGCGGCATATTAATTCCCTCTGCTGACAGCCAGCCCCAGTTGGAGGGGGAGGCTTGGAAATCACAGGCTTCAGTGAGGCGAGGGTGCCCGGCGCCTGCTCTGCCACAGGGGCTTCCGAGTCGACGGCAAACCAGGAGGTGACGCAGAGGGCTGGACAGCGGGAGTGCGACCTCATCGTTTTGGTGGGAATAAGGGAGATTCTGTGCAAAAAGAAGAACTGATCATGTGTTCTTTTATCAAACGCCAAAGACTGCTGTGCACTGGCAGCGACCTTCCTCAGATGGGGCTGTATTTCAGCTGTTACTATATTCAGAGTTTGTAAAATGCTCTGGGATGATAAAAATCACTCCAGAAACAGTTATTAAAACTGCTTCCAGGAAATCAATCCATGGAGATGGAGAACGTCTGGTATTTTTACAAGGGCTTCAACTAGAGAAAGACCAAAGTTAAGAAGAAAGTTTTGCTTCCTTTTCAGCCATAAAAAGGAGCTGCATCAGGGGTTTATTCGATTCTGCAACATAGGAAACAACCATCAGTTGTTTCCTCAGAGGGGAGCCTGACCTGAGACGGGCAGAAAATACCCCTCAAGTCATCCCGAGTTGAAGGCTTTCTGCCTTAGTCAAGATCTGGATTTGTTTGTTTGCGTTCTTGTTTCATCCTTTTGCTTTCTGTGATTACTGACCGTCCAGAAAAAAGATCCCAGGCTAACAAAATGCACGCTGCAGGAACAGAGATTTTATCCAAGAAAAGAGCACAAAGCACCGTGGGAGCACAGTCTGCCTTCCCATCCCCGCTCCAGCCTCAGTGCTAGGAAGCAACGTGTGTGGAGTTGGACGAGCCATGGGAAACGCAAGCAAATCATCCGCTTGCGTCCAAGCGGCTTTTTCCAAGGATCTTCCACAAAGTTTTCAGGCTCAGTCACCCATTCCCCGCCCCTGGGTCGGAACTGATTAAATGCAGCCACCGAGTCAAACTCCAACATACTCATCTCGTTTGGCAGCCTTGCAGTTCGGCTGCGAGCTCCAAGCTTTCCCCCCCACCACTCCCCCCTTCTTGTTCAATTATCTTGCTTCATCTTTATGCCGTTTCCAGGAACACTTAGCAACAGGCTCTTGCAATCAGCCACCGGCAGGCGAGGATCTGAGGAGGAGACTCTGCAGTTACGATGACCTTTTACTACACTCATGCAAATTTTAAAGGAAGTATGTGAACAATTTGCCTTTTAAGTATCCTCCGGTTACATTCTCCAGGAGTTAATTCTCCTTCTCTCCTTAGAGACATCAGAAACACCAGATTTCATGATTTTACACTAATGAGAACAAAACCTGCAGCTTAATTCCAGTTTGCTTTGTGGAATTTTTTTCTGTATCTCATGCAGCGTGCAGACCCCCAACAGGCAAAAATTAACCTGCAACATCTACCCTGGCCAAGACAGCAGGTCTGCTCGGATGCTGCATGCTCATGCCGCTGAAAGCCAAGCGTGGGCTTCAGGGTCCATCCCAGCAG